AAGGAGTTCAGTCACAAATTTAATTAACACATTATTTTTTTAACGAGCGTCCTCAGCGTGGAAGCATGTCCTCTGGAATGGTGGCCAAAGCATGAAGGGGCCATACGAATGTTTAGCATATCTGGCACATAAATACCTTGCAATGCCAGCTACAACAGTGCCATACGAAGTCTGTTCTCACTTTCAGGTGACACTGTAAATAAGAAGAGGGCAGCAGCATCTCCCGTAAATGTAAACAAACTTGTTTCTCTTAGCTACTGGCTGACCAAGAAGTAGGACTGAGTGGACTTGTAGGTTCTAAAGTTTTACGTTTTGTTTCTGAGTGCAGTTATGTAACAAAAAATCTACATTTTATAAGTTGCATTTTCACGATAAAGAGATTACGCTACGATACTTGTCTGAGGTGAATTGAAATACTAATTTTGTTTCATTTGTACAGTGCAAATATTTGTAACAAAAATAATATAAAGTGAGTACTGTACACTTTGTATTCTGTTGTATTTGAAAATGTAGAAAAACATCCAAAATATTTAATAAATTTCAATTGGTATTCTATTGTTTAACAGTGCGATTAAAATGGTGATTAATCGCAATTAATTTTTTAATCGTGATTAATTTTTTTGAGTTAATTGCGTGAGTTAACTGTGATTAATCGATAGCCCTAGTAAATATGATAGAAGCTAATGTCAGCATGTGAAACTTGAAACTTCCAATGAAGCTGTACAGCTTCTGTAAGTTCACAATTGGACAAAGGTTTTTTTTTTCTGTTTTGGTCTGAGAGAGAATCTTCTTTAGCTCTTATGGTTGTGAAGAAAACCTCAAAAATATGAACCAAGGTGTGAACTGCTTTATACATTGCAGCAGAATCTACTCAGAGTGACAGCTCAGTTTGGAACCGCTAGTGAGTAGAGTTTGAGAGAAATCCCTCTGTATATTTCTGCCTATCAAGAATGAGCCATACTCAAGGAAGCCCACTGGGGCATCTGAGCTCAATCAAGGGAAGCCAAGCCCAGTGGAGCTCAGAAGAGCTGCAGGATTGTATTTTGAATATCTGCGTAATCTACTGTGAGAATTGCCTCATTCTGGCAATGTGGGGTTGGAGCCTGGAAGAATACTCTACCACTTGTTTTGCCTTCTCCTTTCTAACTTGCCCCCTCTCTGTCTGTCAGTGTCTGGTAATCTTCAAAGAATGATAGAAGGCTTTTCAGTTTTAATCAGGCTTGTATTAGTTAAGTAACAGCTATGCAAAGGAAAGTTTTATATGCAGACAATAGGGGAAAGATTTTACTGAGTCCCCCATTGGGCTGATTTGAGTACTTAACTGTAAAGCATCTAGAACAGTGGTTTTCAAACTTTTTTTCTGGCAACCCAGTTGAAGAAAATTGTTGATACCTGCAACCCAACTGAGCTGGGGATGAGGGGTTTGGGGTGCAGGAGGGGGCTCTGGGTTTGGGGGGGGTGCAGGCTCTGGGGTAGGGCTGGGGATGAGGGGTTTAGGGTGCAGGAAGGGGCCGGGCAGCACCGCCGTTGGGACTTTGGTCGGCAGTGCTGACCAGAGTCGCCGCGACCCAGTGCCTTACATTCTGTGACCCAATACTGAGTCACGTCCCGCTGTTTGAAACCACTAATCTAGAATGCCAAGGCTGTCAGGCAGTGCAAGCCTACAAAATTGTTTCCCTTTAGCTTTCCAAAGGGAATACATTCTGAGCCTTAAGACACAACTATTGACGAGGAATATTCATTTCTCTCCGGTTGTGATGTTATGCCACCATAGTTCCTCTGGAGCTTCTACCTCTGTGGACACTGCATGTGTGAATTAACAAGTACCTAGCTTTCGTTAACATAGTCCTGTTAGAAAGTGGACTATGGTAACGTAGGCGTAAGTACTTTTGAATTTGCCAGCAGCATACACTCAGGGAAGTTAGATTGCAGCACTTTGGTGGGCTCTGCAGTTCACATCTACATAGTACATGCTGAGGCACTGTGTAGACATAGCCTCAGTTAGAGTTCATTGGAGCCCTCCTGAAACAACTAGAGTCAGAAAATTAGTGAAAATTAAAAAAAAAATACTATTTTTAGAGAGCCTACCTGGTTCACAGAAGTAACAAGCGTTACCAGCTAGCTGGTGCTGCTTATTTCCATTAAGCATCAAATGTGGATCTCCGAGGGTATACATGTTAATGTTCAGAAATCCACATGAGAGTTTTAAAATACTGGTTCCATTACATATTAAATCAAAGTCCTAACAAATAACCATTATTTTTACTTTGCTCTTAAACAATTGCAGTTAATCATATAAGGATTGGAGTGAAATATCCAGCAAAAAGTCATGTTTCTGTTACCTGAAACTACACATTTTAAAAATACTTTGAGTATTTAGTTTGTTCTAAACTGAAAGTTTACAGTCTGAATTTTAGGTAGGTTTGTGGTTCACAAAGGGATCAGGGGAAGTTAACAATGTTCTTGTGCAGTCATATGATTTCCTGTACACCTATGATGTGTAATTTCAATGTCCTTAGCTGATGAATTGCTAGCAGCTGTTTACTAAATCTGTATGATGGTAATAGTTTGTAATGGTAGGAGATTGGATAAATTCTGATTATTCTTTGTGCGTATTCTCATGAGGAAATTGACTGAGTCATTCTTAATTCAGTGGAGTTGCAAGAGAGAATGCATGCCAAAAGTGCAGTTAAATCAGAAGATAAATCAAATGAAAAATTTGATGATCTAATTAGCTAATCTCTTCCGGTCATATGTGTTTGCAAAATAGTTGTTAATGTTATGGCTAATAAATTCAGTCCTGTGCAACTAGGTCTCATATTACACAGCTCAGAATCCTCCTCAGGCACCAAGAGCAGACTTTATTCTTAAAAAGCCTGATTAAGAAGCGAATTGAAGGTGAAGGGTTGGCTTTCAATGGTAGAGGGAATTAGCTTGGGAGGAAGAAGGAAACCAGAGACTGGGGAGTGATCAGGAGCTGTGACAAGGGTCCCAGAGGGGCTACACTGAGGTTACTCAGTTAGGGAAAACTGCAAAGAATGGGGCAGACAATCCTCAAAGCTGGTGGATATTCCAATACTTAGATTTACCAAACCAGCACAGAATAGCTTCTGTAATACCTCACTGGTTACCCAGAAGCCAACAACACAGTTCCCTTATATCAACCCACCTTTGGGCTTCCTCCCAGACATCCAAGTCAAATATGATAAGGATCACTGAAAATCTTATTCATCATATAAGAAAGTTCTACCAATCCCAAAGGGTTGGACACATTACCTCCCAACTTAGTGAATATTTCAGATCTTACCCAAATACGCGCTTACAGCCAATTCTTATTAACTAAACTAAACTTTATTAAAGAGAGAATAAGTATTGGTTAAAAGATCAGTATACATACCGACATGAGTAGAGTTCTGAGCTCAATTTCATAGTAGAGATGGTGAGCTTTGTAGTGGCAAAGAGTTCATTCAGAATTATTCCATAGTCTGTAGTCCAATGTTGATATCCAGGGTGATCTAGGTGGGACTGGAGATCTGTCTTATGACTCAAGCTTCCCCACATAAAGCCATCAAGCAGATCTGAGATGACAGGATCAGTTCCCAAGAGTTTTTATACAGTTTTCGGGCAGCCTCTTGACGATACGGTCCTGGGTGAACAATAGGCTTTTGAAGTAACCTATTTCCTAAACATCACTGGAAATTAACTACCTGGATTAACATAAGGTAATTTATCCATTAAGCCGTTTATCTCAAACTTTAAAGAGACATATAGACCAGTGGTTTTCAAATCATGGGTTGCGACTCAGAACTGCACCGCCGCCTGGGCCGTTAAAAGTCCTGTCGGCGGTGCTGCTCCGCTAAGGCAGGCTAGTCCCTACCTGTTCCGGCACTGCACTGCGCCCTGGAAGTGGCCAGCAGCAGGTCCGGACAGGCGGGAAGCCTGGCTCTGCACCCCAGCTGCATCACTGACTGGGAGCTGCCGGAGGTAAGCCCACACCCAAAGTCCATGCCCCAACCCCCAGCCCAGAGCTCCCTCCCACACCCTGAACCCCTCATTCCTGGCCCCACCCTGCAGCCCTCACCCCCACACCCCAACCCTTTGCCCCAGCCCTGAGCCTGTTCCACAGCCCAAACCCCTCATCCACAGCGCCGTTGGGTCGTGGGCATCAACAGTTGTCTTCAACTGGGTCACCAGAAAAAAAGTTTAAAAACCACTGATATAGACAATGACATTATTTCACCCAAGATTCATCTAAATATTAATATTCCCTTTTGGTCTCTGAATCAATAGCT